CGGCGTTTGAGGCGTTTAGTGTGGTCGTTCTGCCAGGGTTGGTGTGGTCTGGGTTTGATGTTGCGTGTGGTTAGGGTGCCAGAGAGTCTAGTGTAGCTGATAGTGAGTCGTTGTACGTGGAGGTGAGCTAGGTCAGGACATGACAGTGGAAGGATGCTGTCGTGTAGGCGGTCCGGCAGCCGAGTGGAGGGGGGCCGGGTGCAGGTTGCGGAGGTTGCGGCTGGTGATGGTTTGGCGCACTGGGGGGGGGGGAGTTGGGGGAAGGGGAGGTGGAGAACGTGAGGAGGTGGTGGTCGGAGAGAGGGAAGGGTGTGTTAGAGAACTGTTGAGGTAGTACAGAGTGGGAGAAGACGAGGTCCAGGGTGTTACCCATTGATGTGGGTGGAGGAATGGCCGTAGTGTTTGTGTGAGCGCGAAGGAGGAGGTTAGGTGGAGTGAGTTGGGAGGTAGCTGGGGTGTTGTCATTGATGGGGAGTTGAACGTCCCCGAGGTATGATGGTCGGTAGCTCAGAGGAGAGGACAGAAGGGAAGCCCAGGCGGCGAAGTCATCCAGGAAGCGGGCTATGGATCTCCAGGGGGCCTGTAGATCACTGCGATCCTTAGGGGGGTGGGTGAGAAGAGCCGGATGCAGTGAGCTTCGAAGGAGGAGGAAGGTTAGGGGAGGGGGGGTTAGGGAGGACCTGGAAGGTGGCTCAGCGGTGATATAAGAGCAGGCCGACACCACCACCTTTGTGACCGCTCAGTCTGGTGAATGGGACCAGATGAGACCCTCCATGGGAGAGTGCCGCATGGGGAGGTAGTGTCAGTGGCCTGTATCCAGGTTTCGGTGATGGCTAGGAGGTTATGAGGGAGCGGGAGAAAAAGGTCATGGATGGCAGTTAGTTTGTTGCAAACCGAACGGGGACGTTCAGAAGTGCAACTGAGAGAGGGGGGATGGATGCGGGGAGGAGGCGCACAGGTATGAGGTTGAGGGGGTTGCGGCGGTCTGGCGGGGGGCAGGGGGGGTCCCTGGAGGGGGGAGATGTTGGTGAGGGGCAGGGTTCGGGGGAGATGTCCCCAGAGGGATTAGGAGGGGAGAAGGGTGAGGAGGGTGGCATGGGAATGGGAAAGTGTCAGGAGCGGAATGTGGGTTTGGTAGTGGTGGCACGTGGGTCGACCGGGGGAGTGGTGAGTACCAGGAGGATGGTGAGTGAGTGCCGTAGTGTGGATGAGGGCAGAAGTGAAGGGGCAATTGTAGAGCTGTTTTTGGGGGGGTGGGCGGGTAGAGGGAGGACGATTTTTGGGATGGAGGAGAGGAAGTACGAGGAGGAAGAAGTGCAGGTGGCATGCTGGGGGTGAGTGCAGTGCAGTTGTTCGGAGTCGGGGGAGGTGAAGGGGATAACGGGTCAGGGCGAGGTGATGTGGAGAGTCAGTATCACCGTGAAGTCCATTAAGAGTCCTTCTGTAGCTGCAATCTGTGAGATGCAGTATGCTGGCGGTCCGAGGGGTCTTCAGTGGGGTCCAGTGGATCGGGCGAGTGGAGGGGTCGTAGGGTGCGATGTCTGGGGGGTGTTGGTAGGCCAGCGTCTGGTGATGTTGGCGGCTCGGTGGCTGGAGATTCGCTGGGTGGTCCGGGAGATTCGCTGGGCGACATCTTGATTCGCTGGGTGGTCCGGGTGTTGGGTGACCAGAGGTGATAGCTGGGTGCCCGGTAGCTGGGTGCTGGGTGTCCAGGGGTGGTAGCTGGGGTGCCCGGTAGCTGGGTGCTGGGTGTCCAGGGTGGTAGCAGGGTGCCCGGTAGCTGGGAGTGACCAGGGGTGGTAGCTGGGTGCCCGGTAGAGCTGGGTGGTAAGCTGGGTGCCCGGTAGCTGGGCGGTGGGTGTCCAGGGGCGGTTAGCTGGGTGCCCGGTTAGCTGGGTGCAGGTGACCAGGGGTGGGCCCAGAAAAACCGACGAATAGGTTGGGCAGCGGAGCAGCGATCAGTGGGCCTTGAGCTGATTCCTGGTGGTCAGGGATGGACACAGGGGCTAGTGGGGAGGGCCCTGCGAAGGCTGGCAGGTCTGGTGGGGATCGTGCTGGCAGCTTACCGTTTCTGGTGGTGCTGCCATGCAGGTATCCGGGGGTGGTCCTGGGCTGCTGTTCAGCTTGGTGGTCCCTTGCTTGCTGTGTCCTGGTGGTCTAGGGTATAGTCAATGATGGACCCAGGCTGATGGGGAGGGCCCTGGGCAGGCAGGCAGGTCGGTGGTACCCGGTATTCAGAGCGGAGACGGTGTCCGGGGGCGGGTGTCCGGCGATGCGGTCCGGTCGCGGGCAAAAATTGAGGCCCCGGCTTCGGGTAGCGCGGGTAGGTAGGCCGCGATTCCCGGAGCTAGCTCCGGGAAAAGGTCCAGGAGCTTACCCTGGTGGTCGGGCTGGGCCGGGAGTGTCCTTAGGGGCCCCGCTGGGGTCCGCTGCGGGCCCGGATGGCAGCGGATTGGGGCTAGGAGCGCAGGAGCTCCTATCGCATGTCTGCTCCCTGCCGCCATCTTGGAGGTAACACTTCTAGCTGTATATATATTTATTTTTTTTTTTTTTGTTACACCACTTCCCGTCCGACCCATGTACATAAACATCTGGATGAGAGTAGTGCAGTAATGTGAGTGGCCGTTTATAAATGTCCTCTGACCAATCACAGCTCTCAGTATTTCTCAATGGCTGCAAGAATGCTGTCAGAGAGAAGGAGAAATGATTGCTTTTTACAGCCTTTATGGGTGTAAAAGCAATCAGTGTAAAAAAAAAAAAAAAAAATCTTCATCACCCCCCACAAGTAGTACAGTGTCACTATACTGCTAGGGTGACAGTGTGTTAAAAAAAACAACATAAATAATATAAAAAAATAAAATCAAAATGTAAAAAACATTTTTAGAAAAATAATTTTTGGTTATAAACTAATTTAGTTTTTTTTTTTTTTTTTTTTTTTACTAAAAAGATAATTGAATACATTTTGGCCAAGATTTATGAAGAAAGATTATTTATTTGCAAATTTAAAAAAGAAAAACACTTGTTTTTTCAAAATATTTCGACTTTTTCATTTATATAGCAAAACAGATAAAAATCCCAGTGGTGAATAAATACCACCAAAATAAAGTTTTATCTGTCTCAAAAAAATGCTTAAAAATTCATATGGGTACAATGTTGCATGACCGCGCAATTGTCATTCAAAGTGTGATAGCGCTGAAAGCTGAAAATTGGCCTGGACAGGAAGGGGGTGAAAGTGTCCGGACGTGAAGTGGTTAAAGCACAGGTGAATTTATATTGCGATTAATAATTAAGTTTGTTTTGTTTTTTGTTGTTTTCTATTTATGCCCACGTGGTAAATAATGATAATGTTTTATACTTGCACTGCGTGCTACTCCGCTCCAGGGCACGGCTCTAATCATTTATGTCGGGGTATAAAGTAGCGGGATGAAAGACGGTACACAAGACTTTTGTTTACAGAGCTTATTGCAGGCGCTGCCACCCCCTCCATTGCCCACAGTCTGTCCTGCCATTACAGCACAATGCCAAATGAAGTCATTAGAAGGTGAATTTCAGTTTGTTTGCACAACAGATTACCTTAGTCATGGTTTCCCGTCTGATAATGTTTAACTTGTGAAATCTAATTTTATATGCGGCTGACTTGGCCGGTCCTTTTCATTGTTGCAGACCTGGTTGCCATGTTGTTCATTAAAAGGAGATTTCCAGTCACCATATGAAGTACACTTTACTGGAATTAAAGATTTGTGCGTAGCAAGGTGAGCGTAAAACAGAGGGCACTAAGAAGGCCAACGTAACATTTTGCACTTCGAAGCAGAGCTATAGTGGTTGTAATGATTTTGGGATGTACCCATGGGAGAAATCACTTTGGTGTACATAAATCTGACCTATTAATGTTTTACCCCCTTCCAGTCCGGACACTTTCCCCCCACTTCCAGTCCGGACACTTTTACCCCCTTCCAGTCCGGACACTTTCCCCCCCTTCCAGTCCGGACACTTTCCCCCCCTTCCAGTCCGGACACTTTCCCCCCCTTCCAGTCCGGACACTTTCCCCCCCTTCCAGTCCGGACACTTTCCCCCCCTTCCAGTCCGGACACTTTCCCCCCCTTCCAGTCCGGACACTTTCCCCCCCTTCCAGTCCGGACACTTTCCCCCCCTTCCAGTCCGGACACTTCCCCCCCCCTTCCAGTCCGGACACTTTCCCCCCCCCTTCCAGTCCGGACACTTTCCCCCCCCCCCTTCCAGTCCGGACACTTTCCCCCCCTTCCAGTCCGGACACTTTCCCCCCCTTCCAGTCCGGACACTTTCACCCCCTTCCAGTCCGGACACTTTCCCCCCCTTCCAGTCCGGACACTTCCCCCCCTTCCAGTCCGGACACTTTCCCCCCCTTCCAGTCCGGACACTTTCACCCCCTTCCAGTCCGGACACTTCCCCCCCTTCCAGTCCGGACACTTCCCCCCCTTCCAGTCCGGACACTTTCCCCCCCTTCCAGTCCGGACACTTTCACCCCCTTCCAGTCCGGACGCTTTCACCCCCTTCCATTCCTGACGCTTTCCCCCCCCCTTCCAGTCCGGACACTTTTACCCCCTTCCTGTCCAATCCAATTTTCAGCTTTCAGTGCTATCACACTTTGAATGACAATTGCGCGGTCATGCAACACTGTACCTATATGCATTTTTTAGCATTTTTTTGAGACAGATAAAACTTTATTTTGATAGTATTTATTCACCGCTGGGATTTTTATTTTTTTTGCTATGTAAATGAAAAAGTCCAAAAAAGTTTTAAAGTGTTTTTCTTATAAAATTTTTGAAATAAATAATATTTCATCATAAATCTTGGCCAAAATTTATTCAGTTATCTTTTTAGTAAAAAAAAAAAAATAAACTAACCCAAATTAGTTTATAACCAAAAATTATAATGTTTATTTTATTTTTTTATATATATATATATATTTTTTTTCATACTGTCACCCTAGCAGTACACTGTACAACTTGTGGGGGGTCATGAAGATTTTTTTTTTTACACTGATTGCTTTTACACCCATAAAGGATGTAAAAGCAATCATTTCTCCTCTCTGGCTGCATTCTTGCAGCCATTGAGAAATACTGTGAGAGCTGTGATTGGTCACAGCTTGTCACATGGTACAAGGCTGTTGTGAATAGCCTTGTACCATGTGACATCTGTGATCATTCATGTCAGAAGTGACATATTGCTTACTACTCTGCATGTGATCCCGTATGACAATCGGTGTTCCATTGTGTCCGGAGGACACAGCTGGCACCGGATCGCGGTGCTGCGCGCTCCCAGGGAGCACACACAGCTTGAAAATGCGGGCACCGTTTATGAACGGCAACCCGCCCCTGGACTGCCACCGTCCGACCAATTAAACACAGCGGCCAGACGGCAAGTGGTTAAGATCCTTGTTTCTGCTTATTTATTACAGGTACTTATATAGCGCCATCAATTTGCGCAGCACTTTATATATATATATATTGTACATTCACATCAGTCCCTAACCCTCAAGGGGTGTACAATCTAAGGTGCTTATAATTTGTAACTACATCAATCTTCCCCCCAGCCCGCACACCACCCCCCATTGACTTCTCCATCACATCCAACAACGCCATCATCAAACCCGCCCTGCAGGCCTGAGTACTGGGTGTCATTCTGGACTCCAACCTATCCTTCCAGCCCCAAGTCCAATCTTTAACAAACTCGTGCAGACTCCACCTCCGCAACATCGCCAAAATCCACACGTTCCTAACCCCAGAAACCACTAAACAGCTCATCCACTCCCTCATCATATCACGACTCGACTACTGCAACTCCCTCCTCACTGGCCTGCCTCGCTGCTGGCTATCCCCGCTTCAGTCGGTCCTGAATACAGCGGCCAGACTCATCCACCTTACCAACCGCTCCATCTCCGCCATCCCCCTCTGCCAATCCCTCCACTGGCTTCCGATTGCGCAATGGATCAAATTCAAAATCCTAACACTGACGTACAAAGCTGTCGACCATACTGCCCCGTACTACATCACTGACCTAATATCCAAGTACCGCCCAGCACGCACACTCCGCTCCTCACAAGACCTCCTTCTCTCTAGTTCCCTGGTCTCCTCCTCCCATGCCCTCCTCCAGGACTTCTCCAGGGTGTCACCTATCCTCTGGAACTCCCTACCCCAACCCATCAGATTATCACCTACTCTCCTCTCCTTTAGGCGCACCCTGAAAAACCATCTCTTCAGGGAAGCCTACCCCACCCCCTGCTAACTTGCCGACCTCCTCCACTCTTCCTACCACTCCATCCCCCACAGCTATCTCCTCCTGTACCACCATCCCCTCCCTCCTAGATTGTAAGCTCGAAAGAGCAGGGCCCTCAATCCCCTCATGTTTTGCATTGTATTGGTATTGTTCTGTCACATGTTCTGTCCCCCTTTGTAATGTACAGCGCTGAGCGAACTATTGGCGCTTTATAAATACTGTATAATAATAATAATTCCTTTAGATTGTAAGCTCCACGAGCCGGGCCCTCCTATTCCTTCTGTACTGAAATGTATTGTATTGTCTCCCGTTATATTGTAAAGTGCTGCGCAAACTGTTGGCGCCATATAAATCCTGTATAATAATTTGTGGGGGCAGCTATATGTGCTCAATACTTTTACAGGTTCTGCTTCATTCTGTGTCTGCCTGGTTCTCTTTGTTTGAGAACTCCCATACAGTAAAATTGCCCTTGAAACTTTTGGCAAAAGTTGCACCAGACAAAAGTGTGACATTCTAAAAAAAAAAAATAGAAACTTTTATTCAAATACATGATTAAAACCTGTTAACATAAGAATCAAAGAAAGATACATACTTGTGAACATGTATACATGAGAAAACGATCGATTGGAATCCCTACGCATTTCGTGAAGCAACGTTTACTTCTTCAGGGCACATTTTTTTTTTGGCATTCATACCACAGCACACTTCATCTGTAGGCAAAGTGCAATGGATTGCCATTCAAATGGATGGCTCCCAATCGCAAACCGCATTTAAAATGTGTTAAACAGGAGTACTAAAAAAATGAAAGCTATATTTTTAAGAGCCCCAGGCAGAATAAAAGTCACTAGTGAATTTAATATTAGACCATTATGGGCATATGGGGAGTATTTTTGTGTATTTTTTGTTGTATTGGCCAAAATGTGTTTCAGGCCCTCACCTTTGTTGGGCATTTTGCTGCCTTTACTTTTCACTTCTCTACCTTTTGATATATACAGTGGATATAAAAAGTCTACACACCCCTGTTAAAATTTCAGGTTTCTGTGATGTAAAAAAAATGAGTCAAAGATAAATAATTTCAGAACTTTTTCCACCTTTAATGTGATCTATAAAAAGTACAACTCAGTTGAACAACAAACTGAAATCTTTTAGGTGAAGGGAAGTAAAAAAAAAAAAAAACCTAAAATAATATGGTTGCATAAGTGTGCACACCTTAAACTAATACTTTGCTGAAGCCCCTTTTGATGTGATTCCAGCACTCAGTCTTTTTGGGTATGAGTCTATCAACATGGTACATCTTGACAGAAATATTTGCCCACTCTTCCTTGCAAGAACACTCCAAATCTGTCAGATTGCGAGGGCATCTCCTGTGCGCAGCCATCTTCAGATCACCCCACAGATTTTCGATCAGATTCAGGTCTGGGCTCTGGCTGGGCCATTCCAAAACTTTCATCTTCTGGTGAAGCCATTCCTTTGTGGATTTGGATGTATGCTTTGGGTCGTCATGCTGAAAGATGAAGTTCCTCTTCATGTTCAGCTTTCTAGCAGAAGCCTGAAGGTTTTGTGCCAATATTGACTGGTATCTGGAACTGTTCATCATTCCCTGTACCTTGACTAAGGCCCCAGTTCCAGCTGAAGAAAAACAGCCTCAAAGCATGATGCTGCCACCACCATGCTTCACAGTGGGTATGGTGTTCTTTTGATTTTGAGGGGACTATAAAGACACGGATGAAAAAAGTAGGTGCTGTGATGTAAATTGGGGGTGGGGGTGGGAGACTGATGTGCAGAAGGGGGACTGTGGATACGGTTGTAGGAAGGGGACTGTGATATAAATGTGGGGGACTGTGATGTGATTGGATGTGAGCCGTCATACAAACATGTGATTCGGACCTCTGCTGGCAGAAAATTGTACTGACCGGCCCTGAGTTTTAATTCGATACCTCTGGTTCACAGTTATGGTGGGCTCACAGCTGTGCCTTCACAAAGGAACTTTATCTCAACATCTTCAGTTGTTGGGCTTAAAAGTATATGCTTGTATCCGCTCCTAATTGCTTTATTTTACCCTGTAAACCTGAATGCTCCTTTAAATGTTTCTCACTCATTAGAGGCCGCACAGGAGTAAATCTCATTATATAGATTTACTGATAAAAAAAGGGGGAAATTTGGAACACGAATCTACAGTCGTTGTGATGATCCCAGAGGTGGGAGCAGGGGGAGGGAGAGCCTGTGTCCTGTTTTTGTGGGTCATTTTTAGAGGAGCTCTATAGATGGTGTCTGGCTGTGTTCTAGGCACCCCATGGTCATGCTTCATTTGTATTGTTCATGGAATACATTGTCCCATTTCCTCGCACAGCTCTGGGAAACCTACTCATCACAGGTGGTTAAATTGTTTCACAGACACGATGGAGCAGCTGCTGAAGAAGTTTGTGACCCGACATCTCTGGAAATTTGGCAGAACATTGCCTTAAAGCAGAAGTCCAGCAAAAAAAAATAAATATATAAATTGTTTTACCTGTTGAAAGATTTTTTTTTAATTCTGTTCAGGTGCTCCTGTAATCCAGGTTATTCAGCTTAGAGCTGTTGAGGTCCATTTACCAAATCAGAGCTCTTCGCAGGTTGGCGTTTTGGTTCTGCCTGTGTAATATTTCACCAGGCTTTCACTGTAAGGCCAAATGTAAACGGGATGTTTGGAGAACACTTCTAAACGCTGGACATTGACAGCAGGAAAATGAAGGTTAAAAAAACGTCAGTTTTGCCGCATTTGCGTTTATGTGCATTTGCGTTTAGAAGCGGTTTTTAAAGATAAGCACAGGAGAACCTCCCAATGCCCAGAATGCACTGGAAAGTGGTAAATTATTAACTATTTCAGACTGTTTCAGAGAAATACAGTGAGTAGAAGCAGAGACAGCAGTATGTGTTGAGATTAGCTTAGGTGTGAGTTGCTCATTAACATTTCTTTTCCAAGGGTGTGAAGGTGTCTGCTGGAGGGAGTCATTATGGCCACCTGGCAGGGGGGTCTTCATGAGGAATTTGAGGTGTGAATGGTCATTAACATATCTTTTGTTTCCAAGGGTGGGAGAGGTCTGAGGTGTGAATTGGTCATTAACATATCTTTTGTTTCCAAGGGTGGGAGAGGTCTGAGGTGTGAATCGGTCATTACAAGGTGTGATAAGCTTGGTAGGAACATCCTGTGTTCAGTGTTTAATCCATTTGAGCACCTTAAAAATGCTTTGCTTGCATTTTTCATGATGAAAAAAGGTTCTGGACAGCATCGGGAACTGGAAGAGTTAAAAAAAATGTTTAAAACCGCAAACGTTTATTAACGCGATTTTCTGAGTTTACAAGCATTTTGCATTTGAAACGCTTATAAAATCGACGTCTGAACACAAGTTTGTTGTGTTTAAAAAAAACGAGTGTAAACTCAAATGCCTGTAAATGACGTTGTGTACACGGACACATAGGAAAACATTAGGGAGAGTTCAGGGGCTGCTGAAAAAAATGCTGAACAGCTCCTGAACGTTAGCTTATCATCTGCAGTGTACATGGAGCCCTAAAGGTCTGTGTCGCAAACATGGCTTTACCAAGAAGTCCTGGGAATACCAAAAGCTATTCAAGCAGATGAAAAGTATCAGTTATAGCCATTGCTCTACCAATGATATTCTTTTATGAAGAAAATGGTGTTCTACATGTGGTTTTGTATCAGTCATGTTACTGCTATCCCTTTTTTTTTTTCTAATCTCCGGGGCAAGGGCTGTTGGCTGGCAGTTACATCTCTTCCACTGGTGTCTTCACCCAAGCTGGCGCTTTTCTAAGAACGAATTTACACAAGGCCATCTGTACCTTGCCCAAGCATGTTGACCCCCCCAATGGCGAGTTCATTTGACTAGTGTTAACATTCCATACTATACTCGGCCTTGGTTCAGAACACTGTGCCTTGGGCCACTTTAAAGTGGTGCTAAAGGCTTAAAGTGATATTAACTCCTTGACCTCCGGAATATTTACCCCCCTTCATGATCAGGCCATTGTTTGTGATATGGCGCTGTGTCACTTTAACTGACAATTGCAGGACCATGCAATGCTGTACATAAATGAATTTTATATAATTTGTTCCCCACAAGTAGAGCTTTCTTTTGGTGGTACCTTGACCTACGAGTTTAATTCTTTCCGTGGCCGAGTTCGTAGCCCAATTTGCTCGCACATCAAATCAATTTTCCCCATTGAAAATATTTAAAATGCTCTTAATCTGTTCCAACCCTCAAAATGACACCCCATATTTTTATGTTTCATGTTATTAAATAAGGAAAATACATTTCTAAATAACAACTATTGTATAGAAACATAATAGAAAGAGTATGTAAAGATATAATAAGGTTTTATACAGTGTACTTACCTTGGAGGTGAGACGACTTGAGCTAACGAAGACGCTGGCGGAGGTGGGGATAGACGGAGGAGGATGGAAGACTTGTTTTTTGCTATCACTACTGTACACTACGTGTCCCTAAACTTAATTGCTACTTCACAATTGTTTTTTTCTTATTTTATTTTTAATTGTTTACTTTTTCTTCTTTTCTTATCTTAATTTTCGTCACTGTCTTCGCTCTCACTAGTTCTTGGCTTTTTTGCCACACTTTCCTCACTTTCAACTAAAGGCCTTTTCTTAACCTCCTTAGTGGTATTCCCGAGTGTAGCTCGGGGTAAAATTTGAGTACCAAGAGCGGTAACCCCGAGCTACACTTGGGCTTACCATGCGGTGTTGCTCAGGGAGCCCCTGCAGCGCTTACCTTGTCCTTCGCTCCTGCGACGTGTCCCCTGCAGCGTCCCCGGCCATCTCCTCCAGCATCCGGCTTCCGTGTTCCGGTCCCTGTGACATCGGGACGTACGGGCGCCGGAACCGGCGGCAAATTTGAAATTTTTAAAAAAATTTCATTTTTGCTGTCATTGCTGTTTCAATGCATTTCACATACATTTTGTCCCTACTGCTTTGTCCGGCGCCCTGCCTGCATTTTGTCTGTTCTTTCTGCCTGGAAACTTAGAAAAGTCCATGGCGTCCAAAAAGCGTCCCTTTACGTCAAAAGCGGTTTTAGACCGGCTAGAGAACAGCGATCGTAAATCAGAACCACTTGCAGAATTGAGTGATAATGATTCGTGGGGGAAACTCGTCATCGGACACTGAAAACGATTTTGCGACTTTGCTCAGCGATGTGCGAATTTGCCTCTGTATTTCAAATTTCAGTGTTTTTTGGTTTGATTATATTATTGAATTAAATTTATTATTATTATATTATTATTTTTTATGATTATTATATTATAATTTTCGCGTTTCAAATTGTAACATACCCGGGATGTTTACTAGATTCTTGTTCGTACAGATTTCAGTGAGTTATTCCTAAAAATTACAGGCCTACAATAAAAAACTACGTATTTCCATGCAAATTAATGATACCGCTTTCAGCACAAAAAATAGAAAAGAATCATACCGCCGAGGAGGTTAATAAACCTATCCAAGGAGGTCTGTTTCATTCTCCGACGTCCAGAGCTTAGAAATTATTTTACCACCTTTGGCTGGCGTTATAACCTTAACCTCTTGCCGTCCGCCTGCTGTTTATAAACGGCAGAGACGGTGGCACTCCAGGGGGCGGGTTGCCGTTCACAAACGGCACCCGCCTTTTCTAGCTGTGCACGCTCCCTGGGAGCGCGCAGCACCGCGATCCGGTGCCCGCTGTGTCCTCCGGACACAGTGAAACACCGATCGTCGGACGGGACCTCTGTACGAGGTCCCTGTCAGGCTCCACCCAACGGGATCTCTAGTGGTCCACGGCACGGGGTTTCCCAGGGCGCGGAGTCTAAGTCCCAGTCTGCCTTTTCACCGGGATTAGATCAGGCAGGAAAACAGGGTGGAACCCGTAGTTTGCGAAAAACGGGGACTGTCTAGTAGCAGAGTGGCTTGCATTGTTATATGCGAACTCCGCAAGCGGCAGGAGAGTGACCCAGTCATCTTGGAGGAAGGTGGTATAGCACCTGAGGTACTGCTCTAGGGTCTGGTTTGTACGCTCCGTCTGGCCATTGGTCTGTGGGTGATAGGCTGAAGAGAACGATAACTTAATACCCAGGGTTTCGCATAGAGCTTTCCAGAACCTGGACGTAAACTGAACCCCTCTGTCAGATACAATATCCCTGGGAATTCCGTGGAGTCTTACCACTTCCTTAATAAATACCCGTGCTGTCTCAAGGGCCGTAGGTGTGTCCTTTAGAGGTACAAAATGGGCCATTTTGGACAGGCGGTCGACAATCACGAAGATTGCAGTGTGGTCCTGAGAGGGTGGAAGTTCCACGATAAAATCAATGGAAATCATGGTCCATGGCCTGTCGGGTATGGGTAATGGGCGCAAGAGACCCCAAGCTTTGTTCCTGGTGGGTTTGTTTCTCTGACAAACGGGACAAGTCTTTATGTAGGTTTCGCACTCTCTGGCCATATTAGGCCACCAGAAAGTACGCTGCAGCAGTTCCAAGGTCTTACGTACCCCAAAGTGCCCGGCCAGCGGGTGATCGTGGCAGTATCCTAATACCAAGGTACGGGCCTCCTCAGGGACCACAATCAGATCCTCCTTCCAGAAAAGTCCTTCCCTCTTTAATAAGGGGACCCCGGGTGGGCCTTGCATCCCTACGGACGCGGTCTGCAGTTGCGAATGGAGCTCCGATTGGAGGGCTAGGAAATTCCCTGGGGTCAGGATAGTGTCTGGCCTGGGATTCTCCTCAGGATCCCCAAACATGCGGGAGAGTGCGTCTGGTTTTGTGTTCTTAGACCCTGGCCGATAGGTTATGTGGAAAAAGAACCGTGAAAAGAACAGCGCCCACCTGGCTTGACGTGGCCTCAAACGTTTAGCTGTCCTCAGATATTCTAAGTTTTTATGATCCGTAAAAATCAATATTGGGTGTACCGCTCCCTCTAACAAGTATCTCCATTCCTCTAGTGCCACCTTGATTGCCAAGAGCTCCCGATCCCCGATATCATAATTCCTTTCCGCAGGAGTTAGTTTCCTGGAGAAGAAAGCCACCGGGTGCATGAGCTCTTTGATGCCCTTCCTCTGGGACAGGATCGCCCCGACCGCATTCTCGGATGCGTCCACCTCCAAGACATATGGCAAGGACGAATCAGGGTGGCTCAAAATAGGAGCTGCCGTAAACAACTCCTTTAAGGCTCGAAAGCCCTCTGTGCCTCAGGTGTCCATTGGAAGCGAACCCCCTGCCTGGTCAGCTGGGTGATCGGGGACACTAGGCCTGAAAAGTTCTTAATGAACTTTCTGTAAAAGTTAGCAAAGCCGATGAAATGTTGGACCGCTTTCTTGTCGGTGGGCGCTGGCCAATCTAAAATGGCCGAAACCTTTTGGGGATCCATGGCTATTCCCGTGGGAGAGATGGTTAGACCCAGAAACGAAATACTACTTTGTTCAAAGCAGCATTTGTCTGCCTTGGCATATAAGCTGTGTTGGCGGAGCCGTTCCAACACGCGCCTCACGTGACCTCTATGGTCCTCCAAGGTTGGGGAAAAAACAAGGATATCGTCTAGGTATACGATGACGAAGATATCTAGGTAGTCCCTGAACACATCGTTTATGAAATGCTGGAAGGTGGCAGGGGCGTTGCATAGGCCGAAGGGCATAACCAAATATTCATAGTGCCCGAATCTGGTACGGAATGCTGTCTTCCACTCGTCCCCCTCTCTGATACGGACTAAATTATAGGCACCTCTCAAGTCTAGTTTAGTGAAGACAGATGCAGACTTCAGCCTCTGAAAAAGTTCGGGGACCAGTGGTAGCGGGTAACGTTTTTTTACTGTGACCTTATTCAAGTCCCGGTAATCTACGCAGGGCCGGAGGGACTTGTCCTTTTTCTCCACAAAGAAAATGCCCGCCCCGGCTGGTGACGTGGAGGGTCTAATAAACCCCTTATGGAGGTTTTCATCTATATATTCCTTTAGCACCCCTAACTCCCGTTCGGACAAGGGAAATATCCACCCAAATGGGATTTCCGACCCTGGGAGGAGATCAATTGGGCAGTCATAAGCTCGGTGCGGGGGGAGAGAGTCCGCCCCCCGCTTGCTAAACACATCCAGAAAATTATGGTAAACTGAAGGAATGACTCGCGCCAGCTCCGCATCTGTCTCTAGACACAACACGGTCGGCGGTATCGGGGAGATTTTAGGGGAGGCAGTGCTGCTGGCAGTATGTGGAGAGGAACTGGATAGAACCCGGCTTTCCAGTCCACCTGGGGATTATGGGCACGTAACCACGGGAGCCCCAAAATAATGGGAAATAATGGGGATGCTATGGCGTCCAACCGAAGGAGTTCCTCGTGATGGGTCGATACGGTAGTACGGATAGGTGGGGTCTCGTGGTCCACCACCCCTGACTTAATGCGTGACCCATCTGCTAGAAAAATATTCAATCCCACCTCCTTGGTTTGTAGAGGAATTTGTTGCTGAACTGCAAAGTCTAAATCTATGAAGCAACTACACGCCCCAGAATCCACAATAGCCGTGGTCACTACTGTTCTCCCTGGTAGCTGAAGTGACACAGGTACCGCTAGGTAACTAGTGTTGCCCACACTGTTAGAAGATACCGTAGAGAAAATAGCGGAGCACTTACCCCTCTTGGCTGGACAGGTACATACCATATGGCCTGCTCCCCCACAGTAGAGGCAGAGATGGTAGGTAAGACGCCTCTGGCGTTCCTCGGGTGTTAGTGTCAGCCGGATTCTTCCCGATGGACCGGTCTCGGGTGTATCCATAGCATCCTGATTCTGGCTTGCTGGCTGGAACAGGGTTGAAGCCTGAGGAGGTGTTCCCGTTGGGCCTCGTCCTTGGTTGCCCCTTTCCTGCCTGCGCTCCCGCAACCGGCGGTCAATTTGTATAGTCAAAGCTATTAAGGCCTCCAAAGTGCTAGGTATGTCTATTCGGGCCAATTCGTCCTTCAGGGATTCAGCTAACCCTACGCGGAACTGGTGGTGCAGAGCCGCCTCGTTCCATTGGCAGTCACTACGCCAACGCCTGAAGTCGGCGGCATATTCCTCCACTGTCCGGTGACCCTGCCTGAGCGTATATAGGGCCCTCTCGGCCGTTGCGGTGCGCAGGGGGTCGTCATACAAGAGGGCCATAGCCTCAAAAAATACCGTTACCGACTTTAACAGGGGGTCTCGATTCTCTCGGAGCCGGTGGGCCCAGTCCTGGGGTCCTCCCTGTAGTAGGGAAATAATGAACCCTACCCTCACCGATTCGGAGGAAAAGGTCCGGGGCTGGAGGTCAAAGTATAACTGACAGGAGTTACGAAAGGCCCTGAATCTCCCTTGGTCTCCAGAAAAACGTTCCGGTGTGGGGACACGGGGTTCTGGTGCGGGTTCCCCAGGCCCCCTGGTAGAGGTAGCTAAAGTCTGCATGCGACTCTCCAATTCCGTATAACCCTCCTGTAGGCCCCTAATTCCCAGTGTAAGGGTCTCCATCCGTTGGCAGATGTCGTCCAGAGGGGAAGTTCCCCTTCCAGGCTCAGTCATGGCCGCAAGGTACTGTCAGGCTCCACCCAACGGGATCTCTAGTGGTCCACGGCACGGGGTTTCCCAGGGCGCGGAGTCTAAGTCCCAGTCTGCCTTTTCACCAGGGCCCCTGATGGTGGGGATGGACTTGGTGCAAGACTGAAACCAGGTCGCGTTCCTGGGCACCCCCGGCGGTGGCAGAGGGGTCCCGCTGGGGGTATGTGCCCGGGTTGAGCCTGCTGTGAAGGGGATGACAGATCCTGATCCGTGCGGGATGGATGGGATGACAGATCCCGATCCGAGCGGGATGGATGGGCAACTGTCAGGAGTGGACGAGGTCAGACTAGCCGGGTCGGAATTGTGCGGGCAGCGTGGTACAGGGGGAGTAAGCGGAGAATAGTCGGGGTCACAAGCCAGGTTCAACAGGTAGCGGGCAACGAGGTACCGAGGGTCAGGCAGAAGGATGGTCAGGGACGAGCCGGGGTCAGAGCAGGAGAAGGTAAGCATAAGTCAGAACAGGCAGAGTTTGGCAACTAGGAAGCGTACTTACAGGACTGGAACAAGACCTTGCGGCAACCTGGAGATGCACAGGGCAGCTTTAAATAGAGCGCCCTGTTCTCCCATTGGTGCGGCCGCGATCGCTACTGCGCATGCGCGGCCGCCGCCGCGATCGCCGAGGGTTCGGCGCTCGCCGGCTGGGACGGATCGGCAGTCTGCGCATGCGCGCACCGCCGAGGACCCGGGATCCCTGACAGTCCCGATCATGTGATCATTGATTGGCGAATCAGTGATCACATGCAAAGTAGTAAGCAAGATGTCACTTGTGACATCATTGCTTACTACGTGTGAAATCTGTGAATGATCACAGAGGTCACATGGTACAAGGCTATTCACAACAGCCTTGTACCATGTGACAAGCTGTGACCAATCACAGCTCACTTGGTACTTCGCAATGACTGCAAGAATGCAGACAGAGAGAAAGAGAAATGATTGCTTTTACATCCTATATGGGTGTAAAAGCAATCAGTGTAAAAAAAAAAAAAAAAAAAATCTTCATCACCCCCCCACAAGTAGTACAGTGTCACCATATGTAAAAAAATAAATAAAAAATAATAATATAAAAAAAAAAAATAATGTAAAAAAAATGTTTAAAAATTATAATTTTTGGTTATAAACTAATTTGGATTTTTTTTTTTTACTAAAAAAATAACAGAATAAATTTTGGGCAAGATTTATGATGAAATATTATTTATTTGCAAAATGTTATTTAAAAAAAAAAACACTTTTTTTCAAAATTTTTGGACTTTTTCATTTACATAGTAAAAAAAATAAAAATCCCAGCGGTGAATAAATACCACCAAAATAAAGCTTTATCTGTCTCAAAAAATGGTAAAAAATTCATATGGGTACAGTATTGCATGACCGCGCAATTGTCATTCAAAGTGTGATAGCGCTGAAAGCTGAAAATTGCCCTGGACAGGAAGGGGGTAAAAGTGGTCCGGACTGGAAGTGGTTAAGCAACTCCTTCTGCTTAAAATAGTGCAGATTGTAGATGTTGAATGTTCATACTGCCTGGCCAAGTCCTTTACTCGCATACCTTGTTCATGTTTCTCGATAATTTCACGCTTTAATTCAATGGACATCATCCTCCTCTTCTCAGCATTGTCACTAGCACTTACTTTCTGGAGACACGGTACAAGAAAGTTAGAGGTAAACACGTGACGAGAACGTGAGAAGAACAAGAGCGCGTGTTGGAGGCGTGTCTCGGAGGCTGGGAGATGCTCACTACGCCATCTAGCAGCGGCGTCTCGAGCTCGCACCTCAATTTTTTGCTCGCGTAACAAAGCAAAAAAATTGACCGAGTGACGACTCGTACTTCGGAAAACTTGTACATGAATGCACTCGTAGGTCAAGGTACCACTGTATTTGATCACCTCGGGGGGCTTTTATTTTTTGCTCTGTACATGACTTTTTTTCTCTTTTTTAAAGCAATATTTTTTTACTTTCAGCTATAAAAGATAACCAATAAAAAATGTAAAAATCAGATTTCTTCATACATTTAGGCCAAATTGTATTCTGCTACATGTTCTTGGTAAAAAAAAAAAAAAATTTCAACAAGCGTATATTGATTGGTTGCACAAACGTTAAAGCGCCTACAAACTATGGTATATACTGGAATTTTTTTTTTTTTTTTTTTTTAACTAGTAAGGGCGGCGATCAGGGACTGGGATATTGCAGAAGACAGTCTGACACTGACACTTTGTGGGAACTAGTGACCCTAATACAGTGATCAGTGCTAAAAATATACACTGCCTGGGAAGGGGTTAAACATCTAGGGAGATTAAAGAGTTAATTGTGCACCTAGCTATGTGTTTTGTGTACTGCTTTTACTAGGCAATCTGCTAGATAATATTCCCTGCTTTGCAGGGAAAGAGAATCTAGCAAATCGCTGCTGACAGAACACAACTCTACATAGGCAGAGCTGTCTTCTGTCAGTCTCCTTGGGAATCCGGGTGCTGGCGCTCACCCATTGGCTGGCACCTGTTGACTGGCTTCTGCTGTGTCCAATCACAGCAGAAGCGGTGCTCCACCAGCACACCCGCACCCCCCTATGTCGGAACTGCAAAATCACGTGTGTGTATATACACGATTTTGCACAGAACGTCCACCCTGTAGCAGTAAATCTGCTGCTATAGGGCAGACTGAAAGTGGTTAAAGACAAAACAAAATAACAAAGATGTTGTACTTACCTGCTTTGTGTAATGGTTTTGCACAGAGCAGCCCCGATCCTCCTCTTCTCTGGTCCCCCGCCGGCACTTTTGCCCCTTGCCTCCATAGCAAGTCGCTTGCTATTGGAGCACCCAAGCAGACTCACTCCCAAGCCGCTGCTCTGCATGTCCATTCAGCCCCCCGCATCTCATTTGCTCACTGATTGTGATTGACAGCAGTGGGAGCTAATGGGGAGGGAGAGGTCCCCGGAGAGTTGAGGCTCTTGTGCACATCGCTGGATTGCAATGGAGCTCAGGTAAGTATTAAGGGGGTCTGCTACACACAGGGTTTTTTTGCCTACATGCATAGAATGCCTGAAGGTAAAAACCTTGAGCCTTTACAATCACTTTAATGCAGGGGATGCATTAAGGTACAAGACGTTTTAACTATAGAAGCACTCTAAAGGTGCTCTCACACTGGCAGTTTTAAGAGAGCCCAAGAATGGTCCGCCTACTTGGTCCAGTTCATTTGTGTATTGTGAGTGTTCCAAACCTTGCCTGGGGGTAATAAAAAGGTGGTCCCAGTTACAGGGGCTGACTGACAACTCATGGGGCCCCCGGGCAATAGTGGATCATGGGGCCCGTGTCCTTGCCCAAACTCAAAAAAGCCTATGAAAAAGGTACCAGGGGCATCTCATGGGGCCCCTTACTGACCCCGGGCCCTTGGGCAGTTCCTGAGTTTTCAAATGGTCAGTCCGCCCCTGCCCAGGTACAATTCATTTGTGGTCCGGTATGGGTTGCTACAGTGTGAGTGCAGAGAGTGCTTGAGTGAAGAACTCTCCATAGATGACTGAGCACAGAAGCTGGAACCTCTGTGGTCTGGTTGGCAGAGATGACGATGTAAGGTTGCCCCGGAACACTTACTTATAGCCCAGAGTGAGAGCAGACCAGTAGGTGAGTGGGGAGCAGGACCAGCCAAACTCAGGCATGGTTCAGTGCATCCTGCAAGCTGTATGGGAATAACACTCTCTAGTTATGTCAGCTCTCATAGCGCACAGAATGCCGCATTGAGGTCACATGATTCTAGGTTGGAGTGCGACTGCGTCCCCTTGCTGCAGCTTAATTGATGCCTATTCTAACGTCTTTCCATTATGCCTCCCTACTTGTACTTGTAGTAGACCTAAACATTGAACTCACATTTACCGACTACATTTCTATGCAAATTGTAAATAATGTGTAAAAACCCAAAGCTTTAGGAGAGCAACAAATCCCCTTTAATGTCAGGCAGGCGATGGTAATTTGTAAGAACAAAGGCCACAGTTATTGGAATGGCCTCCTCCGTTCCTCCTGAGCTCTCCCCAGGCAGCCTGACAGACGGGGCAGAGGCACACCAGGAAGCGGTCCCTTGCTGCTTTGGATAAAGTTGTTGAACTTAATCCTGCAGATAAGGACTGAGCAGATAACATGAACTCCGAACGGCCTCTTGGTAGCTTGGCTGACCTTCCTGCAGTTAACAGCCAGGGACAGCCCAGGTGGGATCACTTTCTCCTGCTCCGCGATAAACCGAAGCCGTATCGTGACCCGCACCTGACCCCCGTGCGCCTTTCCCCTGAACTGTGTGCTGATAAGACCCAGCGCTGCTGTGCTTCAGTTATAAACCATATCAGTGTGTGCACAACCCAGGACACAGCTCACTGTGACCCTCCTGTCACCTTGGAGCCAGGCCAAGCCTGACGTGTGACCTGCAGTTAACTCCCGTGGCCCTGACTTTGCCTTTTAACACAGTAGCACACCGCAGCTACCCCTCTATGCAAAACCCAGCACATGTGGAGCTCTGCAGGTGCAGACATTGACACGCTGATTGTACCAGAGCAGAACCAAGAGATTCCTCTGACATGTACAGACAGTGCCATCAGTCCCTGTCTCCATCATCAATCTATCAGTCCCCGTCTCCATCATCAGCCCCCATCTCCATCATCAGTCCCCCGTCTCCATCATCAGTCCCCGTCTCCATCATCAGCCCCCATCTCCATCATCAGTCCCTGTCTCCATCATCAGTCTATCAGTCCCCGTCTCCATCATCAGTCTATCAGTCCCCGTCTCCATCATCAGTCCCCGTCTCCATCATCAGTCTATCAGTCCCCGTCTCCATCATCAGTCTATCAGTCCCCGTCTCCATCATCAGTCTATCAGTCCCCGTCTCCATCATCAGTCCCTGTCTCCATCATCAGTCCCCATCACCATCATCAGTCAATCAGTCCCCGTCTCCATCATCAGTCCCCGTCTCCATCAACAGTCCATCAGTCCCCATCAACAGTCCATCAGTCCCCGTCTCCATCAACAGTTCATCAGTCCCTGTCTCCATCATCAGTCCATCAGTCCCCGTCTCCATCATCAGTCCATCAGTCTCCGTCTCCATCATCAGTCAATCAGTCCCCTTCTCCATCATCAGTCCCCGTCTCCATCAACAGTTCATCAGTCCCCGTCTCCACAACAGTCCATCAGTCCCCATCTCCATCAACAGTCCATCAGTCCCCATCTCCATCAACAGTCCATCAGTCCCCGTCTCCATCAACAGTCCATCAGTCCCCGTCTCCATCAACAGTCCATCAGTCCCCGTCTCCATCAACAGTCCATCAGTCCCCGTCTCCATCAACAGTCCATCAGTCCCCGTCTCCATCAACAGTTCATCAGTCCCTGTCTCCATAATCAGTCCCCGTCTCCATCATCAGTCCCCGTCTCCATCATCAGTCCATCAGTCCCCGTCTCCATCATCAGTCCCCATCTCCATCATCAGTCCATCAGTCCCCGTCTCCATCATCAGTCCATCACTCCCCGTCTCCATCATTAGTACATCAGTCTCCATCTCCATCATCAGTACATCAGTCCCCGTCTCCATCATCAGTCCTAGTCACCATTATCAGTTCCTGTCACCATCATCAGTTCCCGTCTCCATCAACAGTCCATCAGTCCCCATCAACAGTCCATCAGTCCCTGTCTCCATCAAGAGTTCATCAGTCCCCATCTCCATCAACAGTTCATCAGTCCCCGTCTCCATCAACAGTCCCATCAGTCCCCGTCTCCATCATCAGTCCATCAGTTCCCATCTCCATCATCAGTCCATCTGTTCCCTTCTCCATCATCAGTCCATCAGTTCCCATCTCCATCATCAGTCCATCAGTCCCCCCGTCTCGACCATCAGTCCCCATCTCCATCATCAGTCTATCAGTCCCTGTCTCCATCATCAGTCCCCCGTCTCCACCATCAGTCCCCCATCTCCATCATCAG